GGTAATCAGTGCAGGGCAGGTTCCAGTAGGCCATGCCTGTGCTGCTTGGTGGTGTGATGTTAAACACATGGTGCAGTTAGGCAGGATGTAGTGGGTAGATTGTTATGTGTGGAGCTAAGATGGATATGGGAAAGAGGAGAGAGAACAGGATCCGAAAACTTACAAACAAACAAAAATGAATGCTAGGGGAGCTTGCCATTGGAGAGGAGAGATGAGAGACTATGAAATGGAGAAAAACAGAAAGGGGAAGAGGAGGAAAAAAAAGAAAAGAATGAATAAATAAAATTCAGAAAGGGTAAAGAACAGCAAAGTTCCCAGGGATCCCACTGGTGTGGCTATGATGTCTGGGGAAGTTGTTCTCAGATGTTGCAGTACAGCCTGGCTAGAAGGCATAGACATATACAACACGATGTATTCAGGGAACAGAATGAGAAGGAAGACATAGAGAGACAAGAAAGTGAGTAATGAAGTAAGACAAAAAGGCAAAAAGATAGAAAAGAAAACAAAACAAATTAAAAAAAAAAGAACAAGAAAAGCCCCCCAAAAAACAGAAAAAAAAACCAACGAAAAAGAAATGTCCTCAGGGATTCCTCTGCATGTCTGTGAAAGCCAAGGGGGTAGTTTCCGAGCCATGCAGCACCGCTTGGGCAGAACGGGCTCCCAACTCAAGAGAAGGAAAAGAAAACAAACAAACAATTCAAAACAAACAAACGAACAAAAGCCCTGGGATCCCACCAGCACAGCAGCCCAGACCGGGAAGTAGCGCCACACTCGAACGGAGCTCTGTAGTCCCTCAGAAAGAAGGAAAGATGGCTCATGGAGCCAGGTATTTGAGCAAAAGGAAGGGGAGGTGGTGAGAGGTAAGGAAGAAATCAAAAGAAGCGGAAGAAAGCAACACCAGCAGCCAACAAATGGCACTCAGAGAGCCAGCCCATTCGGGTGTGTGGAATCCAAGCAGCCAGTGCTTCCCGGATAAGAGATTGTGGCCGCGGGAAGCAGAGGAGGCTGAGTAGGGGTGCAGAACGGTTGGGGGTGGGAAAGGTATACAGCAAATTACCAGTTGTTTTGTCTCCTGCTGGAAGCTCCGTGAAGCTGCTTTCTTGTACCCCTGGTTTGCTGGTCCCCGATAGGAGTCCAACATGGTGGATCCACACTGCGTTAGCTGATAGGGGACCTCTGCATGAATCTCTCCTCGCTCTCGGTTCTCTGTCAGTTTTCTCATTCCATTTGGTGCTTGGCTGAGTTCTTTATCTCTTCATTTGATGTTTTAGGGTTTAGGATTGTTGTTTTCTCCATTTGGCTCAATTTTTCGGATCTTTGCTGTGGAGGAACAGCGTGGTGCTTCTGCC